TTTTTTTTTTTTTTTTTTTTTTTTCCTTTTCCCTTTCCCCTTTGCTCCTGATTTTTGTCTCATGCCCTCTGGGTATTGTTTACTTGACAAAACATCAAACCCAATCCCTGACCGCTCACGGTCATTAAAAATCCCATGGCAGTTTTGGGGAAGGCTCCAATTTGGCTAATTACGTTCTGCCATAAATATCCCCCTGCAGATTTAATTGGATATGGTGTTCTTCATTTCCTGGCCATTACAGCTGGGTGGATGCTCCACTTTATTACGTGGCCGTTGTATTTCACCCCATGTTTTGGTAGCAGCAGTGCTGGGAAAAGCTCCCTCTCCAGACCAGAAGTTACACCTAATTCCTGCTGGAATGAGAGTGGGGAAACACGAGGGAAAGGAGAAGCTGGCACAGCCCCACGACATCTGAAGGAGAGCCAGGAGCTACCCTGGGCTGGGGCAGGAGTGAATTTGGCCGTGGAGAAGTGAAAGAGCCATCCCAGCCAGGAGAGAGGTCATGGGAGAGCCGTCCCCGGGTTCGGAAATCACAGCAAAGGCTGCGCTCTCCTAACACCTTTCCTCAGTGCTAAATGAATAATAATTACTCTTGTTCTGTTAACCCAAGGTTAGTCAGCGACCCTGGGAACAATGGGGCATTACTGCCCATCCTTTCTTTGTTCCCAGCAGTTGCAAACAGTGGGGCTGCGCTGGGGAGGGAGGGCAGATGGTTATCGCCCATCTTGGGGCTGCAGGGCCGTTCTCAGCCCGGCATCCTCCCTCCCGGACAGAACCTCCGTGGATATTCACGTTCGGTAACGACACAGTGGAAAACGAGGGTGAGACTTGGATGAAGAAGAGGAAAGATTTTCCTAAAGCCTGTGAGCAGCAAATAGGAACCAGTTGCTGAGGAGAAGTCATGTTTGGCAGGTCTTGGACTCAGAATGGTCACATCCCAGCTGAAGAAACTAATCAATGGATTCCTTCCATGCCTTCTGCGAACACTGAGCCATTGAGCGGCTCAGCTGGAGCTCAGAGCCAGGGCTTTCATGTTGCAGCTCTGAAGTGAACACAAATTAAGGCGGCTGCTGGGATGGAGTTTGAAGGAGAGATTCAGCTGCCCTGGGAGGAAACCTCTGCCCGCAGCCACTCTCTTCCTCCCCTTTGGGGATTTTTGCCTTGGTGTTACTTTTGGAAGCATTTCCAGTTTCTCTGCGTGTTGGGGTTGTCATGCTTTGCACCAGCAAAATGGAACACAGGTTTGGGGAGACAAAAGGGGGTGAGGCAAAGCCCAGAGCTCCTCTGCAGCCATCCTGCACCAAGCTGGGCTCAGTGTCATCGGCTTTGTGGGATCAGGGCTCAGCCGGGATGCCAGGAGAGCGTGGATGTCTCCTGCTAAAAACCCCACAAGCTGTGAGAAAGGTCTTTATTAGAGCCTCTGTGCTGGTGCAGAAGAGAAGGATCTCCAGTACAGGTGCCCTGGAGTTCAGCCAGTCCTCGAGACTGTAACACTGCAGGAGCGGCTGAGCCAAAAGGGGAGCCCGGGGGGGCGAGGCTAAAGCAGAGACACCTCAGGGCACCCGCTGCCTCCTCTGTTGCTGCATCTCGGTCTGTGGCAGCTCCATCCAGGGCTCTGCTTTGTGCTGTGTGCCACCAGCAGCCTGTCCCAGCCTGTGTTTGGGCAAGTCCCAGTGACCTCGGCGCGCCTCCTCCTCTGTTTCGGTGCGGGGCTGTGGTTTGCTGCAGCCGCGCTCCGAGCGATCCGCCCGGGGTCATTTCCATCCGGCTGGGACCGCAGGTGCTTTCTGACGGCTCCGGCAGGCAGCTGCACAAAGCGGCACCCCCAGGCAACCCCCCGCTTCCCATCCTGCCGGATCCCAGCCCGGGAGCACGGGGAGGGAAGGGCTGGGGGCTCTGATAACTGCATCAGGTTTCTCTGCCCAAGCCTGCTCGGGAGGGATCAGAGATCAGATAGAAAGGCAGCTGTTTCTCCTGACTCCCCTTCTGATTTTGAACTAGAAATGTTCTGCTAAATCTCCTCTCTGTAGTTTCTTCCTTTAATCCTTGCTGTACGGGGAAGAAAGAAACCCAAACCGAGGGCAGGTGCAAGCACATGATCCTTGTCCCGGGGAGGGACCACATTTTATCCCTGTAGCAATCCTCTTTCCACCTTCGGATTTCCAGGTTCATTCCTGTGGTAGGTTTCAAACCACCAGCTGAGGTTTCCAACGCTGTGCTCTGCCTGAGCACGGCTCAGGTTCTCCTGAGCCCTCGGGAATCAGTGGAGGGAAGTTTTTCATCACAGCAAATCACTGGTCCCACTCCACTGCTGCAGGAATAGGTTGTCCAGAACTCAGCTTTCAAGTAAATTGGAAGCAAGATTGCCTGGAAAATTGAGAATGTGAGAGGCTGCCACTGGGTGAGGAAGATGAACCTGGAGCTGGAGCTCTCTGCCCAGCTTTGCCAGCTTTCAGCCCTCCTGCTGCTCGATCTGCCTGCCTTGGCAGAGCCGTGTGTGTGCAGCCAGAGCCGCCCCTCCTTGTCTGGCCCCGGCAGCCTCGCAGCTTCTTTCAGTTGCACAAACTTCCCCGCTATAAATACGCCGGGGTGGCTGAGAAAGGCCCTGCTGCAGAAGCGAAATAATCCGAGCTGCAGTGTTTGCATCTGCAGCTCATCTTTTGGGGCCTCGGGAGGTTTCAGGGGTGTTTGCAAGCGGGGCCCTGGTCCATCCTAAGGGCTGAGCAGTGACCATGACCCCAGGCAGCTGCTCCTGAGGGCCTATGTTCACTTGAGGCCATCTTCGATGAGAGCAGCCTGATCTGTGCCAGAGTCAGGAGCTGTTAAAGACTTTCAGAGTGACAGAACCACAAGAGCTGGTTGCTAATGACTTTTTTTCTCCGTACCGGTAAGCTGACATCTGTGAGTCATACGCTCCTTCTGCTGTGCCGTTTGTGGTCTCAAGTTTGTGCTACCTAAATACAATCAAACAGATTTCATGTGAAAACCGATATTCTTCTGTTAACTCCATACTGTACTGGCATGACACTCATCTTGCATCTTCAAGATGTTTTTTATCCAGTCAGTTCCCACCTCTCTTTGGCCTCCCACCTCTACCAAGCAGGGCAGGAACAACCACCCCTGGCTGTCACCCACCACTGCACGATGTGCACTGCTCTGCCCTGGCTGTGCCCCTGAGTTTGGATGTGCTTGTGGGTGTGAGAGGGTCAGGCTGCTCCAGGAAGGATGATGGGAATGTGAAAGGGAGATGGAAATGTGAGGAGAGGATGTGAGCATGAAGGGGTGATGGGAGCCGAAGGGGTGAGTGTGAAAGGCAGCGGATCATGTCGAGACAGGCAAGGTGAGCACAACTGGCCTGGTTTCAAGAACTATCGGTTTTGGGCAGCGGCTCCAGCCAGGGCTGCGCGCAGCCAGCGTGCTGAGACTCTGAACCCGTCCTGCTGGGGAGCCGGGGTGCGAGCAGAGCTCGGGGCGGAGGCGCCCTGGGCCCCCTCGGTCCCCGGAGCCCCGATCCCCCCGGTCCCCCCGGTCCCCCCGGCAGCGCCGGCTCCGCTCCCCGCAGCGCCGGGCCGGGGCCGCCCCCGGGGCGGGGCCGCCGCTGTCGCCGCTCGGGGCCGGCCCAGCGCCCTCCCCTCGGCTCAGCCCGGCCGGGGCGGCGGCGGGCGGAGCGCGGCGGAGCGCGGAGCGCAGCTCAGCCCGGAGCGGAGCGAGGGAGCGCGGGAGCGCGGGAGGAAGGAAGGAGGAGGAGGAGGAGAAGGAGCAGGAGGAGGAGGAGAAGGAGGAAGAGCAGCGGGAGGAGGGAGGCAGCGCCGGCCGCGCTGCCCCGGGCGCCCCGCTCCGCGCTCGGCGGGGCTCAGCCGCCGCCCCCCGCTCCCGGCGCGACGCCCCCGCGGCGCTGCCCCAGCCATGAAGGCGGCGGTGGATCTCACCATCATCAAGACGGAGAAGGTGGACATCGAGCTCTTCCCGTCCCCCGGTGAGCGCCGCGTCCCCTCCGCGCCCCGCTCCGCGCGGCCCCGTCCCCTTCTCCCTGCGAGGCGGCGGGGGAGGCTTGGCCGGGGGGGACGGGGTGGTCGGAGAGGTCGGGGTGCGGTTTTTGGGGGTGTCTTTCGGAAGGGAACACGCAGCGCACCCCAAGTCGCAGCGCAGAGGCGCCGCCCGGGCTCTGCCCGCTGCGAAGGCGAATTGACTTTCCGAGCGCTTTTATGACTTTCCATCCCCCTCCTTCCCTTAAAATCCATCCCGCCGCCCCTCCAGCCTCCTTCCCTCACGCTCCCGGCATCCTTGCCGGGATGTAGGGAAGCCCGTCCGGCGGGGAGGCAGGAGGGATGCGCTCCGCGGGGCTCCCCGCCTGTTCCCATCGTTAGCTGGGATCTGCGTTCTCCCCATCCCTGGCTGGAAATGTCTTGTGTGGTCCAAGCACTCGTGGTATTTGGGAAACACAACTCCAGTGCTAAATACTCTGGATTTAGCACGTTTAATCTAGGAAAAACCGCCGCTTTGATATTTTTTTCGCCCTTCTGCAGCTGGAGAAATGGGTGGAGAGGGGGTGCAGAGAGCAACACGTTACTGAAGGGAGGCGAGAAGGGGGTTTTGTGTGTTTTAGAGGGGTGAGTTCAGCTGCTGCTGGCTGTGGTTAACTGCTCCGAGCCGAGCCCTGGCCGGAATAAGGGCTGCTGTTCACACACTGGTGGCGTCTGGCTGCTCGCCGATCCCGGGTGCTCAACTCCTCTCTGCCCTGCCCAGGCACGGTGGAGGATGGAGCTTGGAGGACCCGCAGGAAAAAAATCAAAATCAAAAACAACAACAAAAAAAACCCCAACCCTTTTTATGCATTAAACGAGTCCTGTTGCTTCATCTCTCCCTGCTGCAATTCCCACTGCGCCAAACTGGAAGTTTGCTGAATTTTGTGCAGCACCGGTGCGGCGAAGAAAATCAAATTAACGACTGAGTTGTACCTTTCTCTGCCGGTTAGGAAGTTTCTAGGAAGGCCAGAAGGGAGGCACAGCTCCCGCAGGCATTGGGATTTTGGGCTGCAAGTGGAAATAAAATGACAGCTGAGTGCTGGAGCCGCACAGGGCTTGGTGCTTAGACTTCACTAGATGCTGGTGCAGCATCAGCTGGCCTGCAGAGAGCCCCGAAGGCAGCACCGCCTGGGCATCAGCCCATGGGCTCCGGAGTGTCCAGCGCAGGAGCCTCCCTTGGGATCCCTCATCCCTCCCTCCCTGGCCGCAGGGAGCCCCTGTGCTGCTCGGAGGGTCCAGCGCTCCCTGCCCCGGCAGCAGGGCTGAGCCTGGCCCCGGCCGGGCTGGGGAGCGCCCGGCTTCGAAATGCCCGAGGGATGCTAAGAATGCAGCCACACCGCTGAAATGAGAGGCCGGAGTGGAGCCGTTTGTGCCTATTTCCTAAAACTTTGGGGAAGACTCATTCGTGCCCTTCAGCCCCTGAGGGCAGCCTGTTTGTTTGGAGGGGGAAAACAGGATAGGAATAAACACCTGGACCATCAGGGTGGGGTGGAGTTTGTTTTTCACTCCGGAGTTAAGTATTAAAATTTGCACTCTCCTGGTGCGGGTGGGAGCTCTCACGAGGCTCTGTGTGCTCTGGGTGTCTGGAGCAGTGCAATTCCCTGGTGCCTGAAGGGAGGGCTCGGAGTTTCACCCTGCCTTAAGTTCACTTTCTTCTGTCCCTGAAAGCTCTTCTGCAGCTGATGTCAGCAAACAGCTTTTAGAGCTGCCCCAAAGTTAAGCTTGGGCAGGAAGAGCGCTGAAAAACACAAACCCAAGAGGCAGAAAAGCTCTCCCCCCCATCGGCCTCAGCTGCAGCCGCTCCTGTGCTGGTGGCTGCGCTCGCTGGGAGCCACAAAGGTCAGTGCTGTCAATTAGCTGGCTTAACCTCATTTCCCCTCCGAGTCGCAGAGAACGCTGCAGCTTTCTGGTTTGGTGGGATTGATGGTGAGGGAAGGAGTGTGGATGCTGCTGGGTTGTGTTCCTGGGATCCGGCCAGGGGAGGAGGGAACATCACTTCTCTCTGCTCCTGGAGGGCTCATCTGCTCCCTGATGGCTCCTTCAGCCCTGAATCTGCCACCAAATGTCCCCATCGTCCTTAATTCCAAAACGGGCTGGGAAGGACTGCAGCCCCTTGTCCCGTCCTGCCGATGGGGTTAACCTCGGGCAGGGAGGGCCCTGCAGCCAGAGGGTTTCAGTTGTGCAGGATGTTTGATATGCCAGGTGTCTGATGCCCCGTGAAACTCTGTCCGCTCTCACCCCCCAGCCAACCCCTGCTCCACCCCACAGCTCTGCCTGCGAAACTCCGGGAGATCTGTGCTGTGTCCAAAGGGTTTAAAAATAATCTGGAAGGGATGTGGATCTGTAGAAAGCTTCCAAAGCCAAATCCTCCCCCTCCACCCCCGCTATTACCGGCAGGAATGTGTGAGTGAGAAGAGGAGGTCAGAGCCAGAACCCCATGGGGGTGGGTTCTCCTTCAGGATGCAATTCTAGGTGAGTGGATATGTTTATGAGGATGTGATGGAAGGGTGGTAACATCACCTGTGGTTGTACATACATGGCTGGTGGGACCATTCTCAGACACTAAAACCCCAAACCACGCAAAATTCAACCCCAAGGGAACTTCACCTGGGGGCTGATGAAGGCTGCCCTCCACAAATCACTTTGTTTCCTGCAGCTTGGCCAAGCTGCATTTGCTGGCTGTGGGCAGTGGGAAGCAGCTGCAGCCCTTGCTGGGAGTGTGAGGTGGAACTGGGGCTCCCAGTGCTCATTCTTGCTCAGGGAGCTGCAGATTTGCCTCCCCCGAGGTACCAGAGGAGGGCTGCAATCCCAGCTGTCATTCCTGGGCATCCCAGGTGGAGCCAAATTCCCCATCCTGCATCCAGCCTTCCTTCTGCCTCCTTTCCCTGCAGGTGTGTTACTGAGCAGTGGGGGATTTGTTCCTGGAAAAAGCACAGAAATCCGGGATTTTTGGCTCTTCCCATGCCTACCCTGAGGACAGCTGGGACGTGCACACACTGTTTCCATTGGCCTGTGCGTGGGTGGCATCCCAGGGGTGTGTTTTTATCTGACAAGAGCTTTTCCCTCTGTTTGGGATCTGGGACAACACTGGGGCTGAAGCAAGATTTTCCCTTCCAACCCAAACCTCTGTAAGGTTGTGGTTCTCCTGCTGTGGTGGTGCAGGGTACAGGGAAGCTCCTGCACAGCTTCCCTGCTGCTTTGGGATGTAGGACCTGCCTGAATCGTGCTTCTCCCCCTTCCCACAGCCAGGCCAGGCTTCGCTTTCACTTTCAGTGCAGACAAGTAAGGGAGCTGGCTTTGAAAGCGAGTCTGGCAAATGCAGAGCTCCTCCACAGAGCCTCGCCGCAGGCAAGTGGCAGAGAAAATCTGCCTTCTTTAGGTTTTAGGAGGGGATCTTTCACTCTGTTCTCTAGCTTGTCTCGGGAGGACAAGTTTGCAGCCATCCCTGGCTCCAGGTGTGCGTGGAACAGGGTCACAGCTGGATCAGCCCGACCAGGGGGGGTCAGTTTGCTGAGCTGCTCGGGGTTAAAGTGCTCAGGGACTTGGGACATTATTCCCAAAAAGACAGGTTTGATCCTGCATCGTCCTCTCAGGATTGAGCCCCCCAGTTGAGTCAGCCGCTGTGTGACTCAGTTTCCCTGCTGCTGACAGGCGCTGGCTCCTGCATGGCCACGTTTCCTTTCCATCAGGGATCTCCAGCATTTCCCTCCCTGCTCTGGCACGTTCTGTGTCCTCCCTGTGCCTCAGTGGGCCTGGGAGAGCGCTCACCTGTCCTCCCGGGGACACGGGGATGCCAGAGCCCGGGGAAAGGAGAGCACTGATTGATTGGCATCTCCAGGGATGCAGGGAATGGCACAGCGTCTTTTGGAGTGCTCTGCTCCGCGCTGCACCAGCGTGAGAGCTGGGCTCGGCTGGGGATGCTCTGTGGGCTGGGATGCTCAGCAGCGAGGCTGAGGCTCAGAAATGGAGGGCTCGGGGCCGCTCTCGCATTTTCGGTGCTGATTGCCTGCGGAGGAGGTGAAAACTCAGCTGAAGAAGAGCAATTACCTGTGTATGCGCTGCCAAAATGCCCATTACTGTGGTATCCAGGCGGGATGCGGCAATGAGAGCTTCCCAGGAGGGGGGACTGCCTGCACTTGGCTGCCACCGCCTTCGAGTTTTTTAGTGTCAGCTTCACAGCAAAGCTCTGAAAAGGGGCGGAAAGAGGGCAGCTCACGGAGCTGTCCCTCAGGGACACATCCCCGCAGCACATCCCCGCTTTTTAACCTGGGTACAGGCAGGGAGATTTCCAGGCAACAGGAGCAAGCCCCGTTCCTGTCACGTTTCCATCCCGTACTCCCCAACGCACACACCAAGTGTGTAATTACAGTGTCGTTACATGAAGTGGCCCCTAATTAACCATGTAATTACAGCGTGCCGTGCTTTGATAGGCCTTGCAGAATGCCGGGATAACACAGGCTCACGCTGGAATGCTGTGCTCCAGCTCTCCAGAGCCAACTGCTGAGACATCCTAAGACTTCCTGCGCTCCCAAATCCAGAGCAGATTGCTGGCAGGCAGGCAGCGAGCGGCTGGGACTCCAGCAGGACTGTGGCACACTGAGCTTTGCCACGGGATTATCACAGAATCCCAAAATGGTGTGGGTTGAAACCCTTGCGGATCTCACCTGGGAGATCTCCCACCGCCCCAGGGAGCTCCAAGCCCTGTCCAACCTGGCCTTGGACACACCCAGGGATGGGGCAGCCCCAGCTGCTCTGGGAGCCAGCTCTGGATTTGCTGCTGTGGAACTGCAGGCTTCCGTGGCAATGATGGGAAAATGTGGGAATCTACAGTCACATTCCTCTGGAATGGATCCTGCTGTCTGTGTGAGGAGCTGGGGACAGCTGGATCAGGCTCAGAGTGCACAGGCTGTCCCATAGATGAAACCCCCAGGTGGGTGTGAGCAGGACCAGA